ATCCCTACACCGATAGCGCGAGAAAACTAACCGTCATTTTTTGCCCTGGCGCATTTACTTGAGCCTCAAAATCAGACCGGCACTAAGGAGCGCTGAAAATGCGCTTGGATTTCGACGGCGCGCCACTCTGGGTTCACCTACTATCAGGGGTGAGAAAAATATATACGACTCCTGCGCGAATGTCAGTCGGGTGGCGACGACGTAACGATTGGTCATGAGTCATGCGTGATTGCTGGCTGGCGTATGGCGGCCGAGCAGGGAGGGAGGGGAGGAGGGGAAGCACCAGTGCGGGGGGAGCGACGCCCGGGCCTGGCCACCGCCAGGTGTCGGGCGGGGCGCGGGGCGCGCGAGCCGCGAGGTGCCGAAGGTTTTAAGGCCAACACATGACAGCAGGGCCGCCGGGGGGCGGCCGGCGACCACCACAACCGCCATACCTCCACGAGAGGGGTGGGGTGGGGAGGTGGGAGGGGCGATGTAAGCACACATCTGAGCGCCAGCGTTACGTGCCAGGCCGGCGCCGAGGCGGACGATCGAAAGCGAGCCTTGAACTGAACGCTCTGGCCGTGTACAAAGCGTGTACAAGTAGTATCGTAAATGCGCGGAGTCAACGAAAACAAACCGACAAATATGTCGGTGTTTAGAGTTAGTTAACTTCACTTAAATTGCAAAAAAATTGGATTTGTCAAAATTTATTCGCTGGCGTGAAAAACAATGGTTTACATGTCAGTGGAAAATCGGTGAATAATTCTCTTCCGTATATACAGCACCGCTTGCTTTTGACTCAAGATCTCTGTGTGGGTCAAGCAAAACCCCCTTTTCTCCATAGGGCTCGGGGTTGCGCGGCGGCACACAGGATGTTGACGTCCTTTGCGTCCTGCTGTGGACGTGGACAGGGGTCAGGTCGCCGGTCTCCTATTTTCGTGCCGGCGATGGCTGACGCGGTGGCATATAGGCGACATGTCCTACCGCACTCGCTGAATCGGTTCCGAAACAAACTTTTTACTTTGGCGAGCGAGCGAGCGAGCGACAGAGAAGGGGAGGGGTCGACTCGTTGGCTGGTGCCGCGGTGGAAGTGGTGGAATCCCATCAATGTCCACTTGGGAAATTCAAAACGACAACAAGGCACGTGGGGGGGAAAAAAGATCAGGTAAAAAGCCAATGCATTAGCGTGCGCAGATAATCTTGTTTTGCCACGCCGCCGATGTGCGCCGGTTAACCAGCGTGGCGTGCGCAGTGCGCCATCGACCCATTCAGCGCCAGTCTGATTAAACGGCGGCGCGCGATACGAGATCAACCCCTCGATCTACAAATAAATAAGTTCAGTTATTCACTTTTGGGTCGCGGACGAGTAGCGCAAGCGAAGCGTTTCAGGTGCGATTGTGCCCGGTAAAATTTGAAAAAAAGACTCGTAGCGTATGGGCAAACCGTAAACCTTGGCAAACCCCTAGCAAACAACCCCTCCTATGCTGTGAAGACCCCTGTCCCTTTCCGTGCACGGGAAAAGGTCGTATTACATCAGCGTAGCATACGTGAAGTGCAAATTCAATCAAGTCCTAGAAAACCCTTCCACGTGCGGAGTTCGGGAATATGCGGACGAAGACTCAAAATGAGATCTCAAAACGTATAGGTACAGACACCATTCCCCATCAGCACATTTTAAAAAATAACGAGAGTAGGTCAGATTGACATTAATATTAATCAAAATTAAAAAAAATTAAATCAGACACTGACACTTCGTTCTTCAGTGTGGCTGTGCCCCTAGGCCCATAAACAGATTAAGTTTGTTGGGCGGTACTTTACCAGTCAGTGCTTCAACGCACAGCCCGTGTTGATGTGTATCGGCTCGTCGTACACGCGTTATACACACAGGCGCCAAGCCTGGAGACAATACTACAAACGACTCTCTGCGCAGCCCCACCCCAGCCGGCGGCGGCACACTTCACGCCCATTTGCAGCAACACATTATCAGAACATCGCCGACAACGTTATCAATAATAGTGATGCGCGACGACGGTTGTATAGAGGGGAGCCTTTCAGGTCGAACCGAACGCCGGTCCGCCGCTGAAGTGCACTGAAGGCGGGTGCGGGTACTGACCGGTGCGCGGGCTGAGCGTGGAGCCCTGCTTCATGAGGGCGCCGTACACGAACCACACGCAGGCGGGCAGCGAGTAGTCCTCCAGCTCCATGCCGGCGGGGTCTTCGGGCATGAGCAGTGGCCGGCGCCGGCGCAGCAGCCGGTTGCGGATCTTGATGATGACGAAGATGACGGGCCCGACGAGGATCAGCGACACGAGGATCAGGTACCACACCTGCAAACGCACCAGAATGGCGGTCACGATGGCAACAGCAAGGCGTCTCGCGGAGCAGTCCGATCGAAGTGATTCAAAAATCGGAAGTTTTCGTGTAAAGCTAACTTTTTTAAAAAATCGTAATTTTCAAAATTTTCTCTGTAAATTTTGATTGGGTTTTACCTACTCAAGAAAAAATCTAAATCTGCCAACAAACAAATTTTGAACATTTTTTTTCTGGAAAAATTAGAATTTCCAGTCGCTCTACCTCGTCGTGCTGCTCTGCTCACCGTCTCCGTGAAGGGCGCCAGGAGTCCGGAGCCGCTGGCCGAGGCCCTGGGCCGCTCCATCAGGATGACGAACTCGGTCTCGCCCAGCGAGATGGAGGGCTGGGCCAGCTTGAGCGTGGTCGGCGTGACGGGCAGCAGGGCGGCCGCCATGTCCGCCCGCTGCAAAGGGTCGGAAATGGGATTCGTAACGTTAGTAACTTACGTCGCCTTCCCAGGAAAATATGCCTGGGAGGCCCACCTGGGCCCCAAAAAATGTGTCGGAACTTTACTTTTCGACCCCATGGGGGTTGACTCGGGCTTAGTCTCCAAATCAGGCGTCTTTCGCGGCAGTTGGCAGGGCGAGAAAAGGGTGGATACGACTGGTAGGCCCGCCCCCGCCGGCGCTCGGACCTCCTAATCAAGTAGTAGGCACCACGTAACGACGAAGCGGTCGATGCGTCCGCGCGACGTGTCGAGAGGTTTGCCTTCCTTCTCGGGGCCCAAAGGCACAAGGCACCAGGGCAAGGGCAAGGGCGGACGGAGCGCCAGCGTTACGTGCCAGGCCGGCGCCGAGTTTTTTTTTGTTTTTTTTTTTTTTTTGGTCGAGCAAAATGTTCTTGGCCTAACCTGTAGCCTACTTTAATATTGTGCTTGATCCAATATGATTTTCATTGCATCAATGCTCATCGAGCAGTGCAATCGAGAAGTACAATATTCAAATGGAGGAGGTTATTCAAGTAAAGAACATTTAGCTTGATCCAAAAACAGACTTCTCTGGGTGGGCGGAAATAACGCACCGTTGGGTCGAAATGGCCCCAAAGCCCGGAGTGGTCGGAGAGTGCGATGTGGACAAATGCCAAAGTTTCAAACATGAACGAGCATGTAGCATGTCAGCGCGCCTGGGCGCGTCGGCCCCTCTCGAGCACTCGCACGAGCTAGACGGGAGGGGCAGCAGTAGTTGGCAGCAGGTCTGAAGTGACTCGACCGACATGTGCCCCAATGTTAAATGAAGTCTGAGCAGACCGCTATCCGCTAGCAAATGTGGCGTGGGTTGCCTACCGTGTGTAGAGCACTCGTACATCACATTAGCTAAAGTATAGAGTATAAGTCTCACACTTGATTTAATGGCGACTTCAATGGGATGAGGAGGCTGCCACACCAGGAGCGACCAGGAACAGCGGCAACAGGCGCAGTGCCGGCGGCACCGAGTGTTCCCCGCTTACGCCCAGGAGTCTCTTGAAGAGACACGCTAGCCGAGGTGTTGGGATCACGTGACCTCACGGAGGGTGCCGCCACCCGCCCACACCGACTGCTTCTCGCTGCTCGTATCATCGCCTCGCAGAGGCCGTGTTGCACTACTTACCGAGTCGACACAACGGTTTTGTCATCACTGACGGCGTCCGCCGGCCCGCAAGATCGATCCCAAAACGTGTGCGCTTCTACGCGCCGCGGTCCGTCACCGTGTCGGTCATGGAAGGGGTAGGGGGTGTGATGGAGGATTTGTCAAGAGTTCACTTCGCACCGACACCACGACGGATGTCGGACCTCGACGGGGTGGGTGGTGAATTTTTTTACCGTTTTTTTTTGGGGGGGGCGGGAAACTTGCAGCCCAAACTCGCTCAAAAATTTTAAGAAAAAGTGGTGGCAAGTATTTTTAGAGCAATGTCTTGCTCTGCTCTGCACTTCGTGAGTCACTCCGCTACACCTACACATAGCTTCATAGCGGTGAGATGAGAAATGCGCTTCTTTTGGGCTCAACGCGAAGAAGGAAGGAGTTAGGAAAAGAGGAAAGGGGGTTGGGAGGGGGTGGGCCCACTCCACGCGAGTTGGATTGGGCGGCGTGAAGCGTGAGGCCCAGTGAGAGGAGGAGGGGACGGGGGGCGACGGGCGAGGCAGGTGCGAGGCGCAGCGCATTTCAATTGAATGGAGGCGGGCGAGACGCCCAAGGGTGAGTCCAATGGTATCCACTCTATGAATCTATGCCTTACATCGACCCACCATGCATGGGACGGGGGAAGGGGGGTTGCTGATGGAAGCAGCAAACTGATGGGCACCGCTGAGCATTTGAACTCCCCGCAGGTCTAACGGTGCAGCTAGATTGGCCGACCTATTTTTCTGCGACCTGATGATTTTTCCAAAATCCCCAAAAGTACTGTCCGACCTAGATTTTGTCCGACAAAACCTAGTTTGGACAGTACTTTTGGGGATTTCGTAAAAAACCAGGTCGGAGAAACATAGGAGGTCGTACAATCTAAATACGACCTATCTTTCGCCGCGCGACTTCGTATGGGTCTTCCATTCTTTTCTTGCGTCGCAGTCGCAGAGGATAGGAACCCCTGTCAACAGCCAGTGCGTGCCGTGAAGGGGCGGGGGGGGGGGGGGGGGCGTCGCCGCCGTCGCCGACAACCGCCGACAACGCTCCATGCGTCCTGTCGCGCGGGGGGTATTATTCCGATTCTTCGAACGGCTACCTGTTAGAAGGACTGAGCCTCGCCTCGCCTCACCTCGCGCCTCGCGCAGGTTGAGGCCTGAGGGGAGGTTTCTAACACGGACAAGGAGCGCACTTCAGATTTTCCTTCGGACAGAAATTTCACGATCTATAGCGGTCTGAAGTATAGACTGAAGATTGAAGAGCTGAGGACATGTACAGAAGCTACATTTTGATAGGGTTTTTGAAACCTGCTTTTGACTTTGATACTGTTGATACTCTGTTTGGAACTTGACTCGTAGCAACCTGATTTTTATAGCATTGCGTGCAAGTCCAACAACACGCCGGCTTAAAAAGTGCGATAGAAATCGTATTGCAGAAAAATGCGCTAATAGCTGCCAATAATAGGCAATGCATTGTTTCTTTCTTTTCGGTGCCATTTAGGTTTTTTAAAAAATCTTATAAGAACCATTTTTAAGCGCTAATTTGGGGGGGGGGGCGAGGTCGCATTCGCTGATGAAATTCGTTATGTTATAATCGCGTTCGTTCCACTACTGCAGCGAATTGTAAGAAAGTTTTATAGAACTTCACTGGAAAAACAAAGGCACTAAACAACACCTTTTCTGCTCTGGAAACCCAAGTGTGTACTTGAATGCAGAATATGCTGTGTACTTGGTCAAGTATGCAGAATATTCTGTGTACTTGGTCAA